ACATGTCTGACAATGTAACAAACGCCCTGTTATACACTTCGTACGATGAATTGTGAGCCAGTATTTGATTGCAGACACGCGTGGTATTCACAAGAAATCCGTTATCACCTTGTTTAGTAAAAAAATCTCAATGTCGCCTTAAAGTAGTACGGATTTAGCACACTAAGTAAAGTGTCCATTAACGTCTGTTCGTTGTGTTCATAAGTGTTTGCCACAACCCTGATCGTACTCATTGCGATTTGAGGATGTACAAGGTCAAGAGTACAGAGAGCACTTTATTTACACCTACTCTTCGTCTATATGAAAAATTTCATGTGTTAGTAGTCACTAGGTTTTCTACCTCAATCTATCCATACGTCAATGCTAATAAAAATATTTATATAAAGTACTCACATGTTACACTATGTAAACTAAATTCAGTCTTAAGTAATAAGGATAGTAGGTTGCTGAATCTGTGTTAATCCTGGCAGATTGCCTTCCAGTGAAGGTTGAGTTTCTCCTTGTTTGGGTAAGGCGTTCTAATCTTCAGTCTTCAGTAATAAGGACAGAAAGTCTATCGATCTATACTAATCCTTGCAGTTTGTAATACTGTGGAGTTCCAATCTCGTTTTGAATATATTAACAGACGGTGCTGATATCACGTGTTCCAGTAGAGAATTCCAGTAATTCACTACTCGGTGCGAGAAACGGAACTCCAGACGTAAACGGTTTGATCTCAGTTTTGGAACTTTCTTCGAATGTCAGTCAGTCAGCTACAACGTAGGACCAGGCACATATATGCATCGGTCCAAGTTGCCATACCTCATTAACACAACAAGACGGACACCGGATTCGTAAAAGTAGTTAATTCAGAGGTGGTAATATATAAAAGAAATATTGCAATAAGGATATAGTACAGGAAGAAAGAATTAGTTCGTAGAAAGAAAGATATGAAGCAATTTTAATCTGTTAGTTTAGGGAAAGACAGGGAGTGTATGCACCAACTCCATTGTGATCGATTCTGAGCCATGTCACCAAGAGTCTCCAAACATTGGTTACGGTAGTCACGCGGACCCCAACCAAGTAGTCTGCATCTACCAACATGGCTCAGACTAGAAGTCAGTGACTTCAAGCACTGATGCCACATTTTGGTCTGGTCGCCCCTAACTTTCTTCCAACCATCCCCAACACCGGTTAGCATTGCACCTTGTGGTAATCGGTGTTCGGGCATACGTAACACGTGGCCCAACCATCTCAGTCGATGAAGATTAACAAACTCATCAACTGATTTACCATCATTCCCTAATACCATGCGTCTAACCTCACTATTACTTACCCGGTGATCCCAGCAGACGCCAGCAATATTTCTAAGGCATCTATGGTCAAATACTAGTAGCTTACGAGAATCTCAAACTCTTAATGACCACGTTCGGCACCCATAAAGTAAAACAGAACGAAATGCTGGGCAGTATACTTGTCCTTTTATTGATAGACGGATATCTCGCATTCGCCATAGGTGACGTCAGTTGGCAAAAGTTAAGCGAGCTTTTCGAAACCGTGCTGAAATTTCGTCAGACACAAACCCATTAGGGCTGATCAGACTTCCAAGATAAGTGAAGTTGTCAACGCGTTCGACTACTTCACTCCCTATCCTTAGTTCAGGTGTTGACGCAGACCAGTCCTGAAGCAACAACTTGCATTTAGAAGGAGAGAAGCGCATTCCAAACATTCTGGGATTGTTGCTTAGTGCTACCGAAAGATTCTGCATTTTATCAGCGTCTTCACCAAACAGGACTATATCATCTGCGTATTCTAAGTCGATAAGTGGACCTCCTGGAAGGAGATCAATACCCGAGAATTCAGTCGACGAGAAAGTTATTTCCATCAGTAGATCTATGATGAAGTTAAACAAAAATGGGGAAAGTGGACAGCCTTGATGGACACCACTTGAGGTTGCAAAAGTAGATGACAGTTCGCCATAAGCTCTGACTCGACTAGTAGTGTTCGAGTAAAGAGCCTTCACAAGGTTTATGTACTTCTGAGGTACGCCTTTCAATGACAGACACTGCTACAGAATCTCGCGGTCTACCTAGTCAAGTGATGCTTTTATGTCAAGAAAGATCACCAATGTCGGACGCCGATAAGTATGCCTATGTTCTAGAACCTGACGAATGGTGAATATGTGGTCGATGCAGCCACGACCGGGTCGAATGTCCTCCCAAATGATCGATTCTAGACGGAAGCAAAAGATAAGACATGTTAATACCAAGGTCATCGTTCAGTATACGATAGGCCAATATTAGATCACCCCCGTATTCTACGGTAAGATAGCGGAAATAAGTTAAGGTGTCTCAGTCTGTCTTCATAAGATAGGCCAGATAGACCTTGTACCATCGTAGTAGCTCGTCGTTGGACTCGTTCTAGCATATCTGCTTCGTACTTGAAACAAGGACACGCTGCTTGAATCCCGTATTCTAAATGTGGTCGCACATAAATCGGGTATAGTAATCTAAACATTTCATCGTCTAAATACTAGAAAGACCTACGAATTGACCATAATACCCTATAGCCTTTTGCAGCAGCAGCCTTGCAGTGACTAGTGGTTTTGAGATCATTGCTTAATATGACTCCTAAATCTTTATAGTTTCTTGCTTTGGGTAGCACGAATCCACGTAGTGTATAGTGATACGATTCGTCAGAGTTATTTAACTGCATCACTACACTCTTATTAGGATTTACTTCTAGTGACCACCTGTCTAACCATGCCACCAATGAGCTAAGATCATCCTGTAATACCATTCTATCCAACATACTATGTATGGGTCTCCAAATCTTTGTGTCATCAGCGAAGAGTAGAACGGATGATTTTGCTACAGTTGGCAATTCATTTACATAAAGTAAAAAGAGAAGAGGACCTAGAATTGTACCTTGGGGAACCACACTTTTTACAGGTAACCACGAGGAGAGAGCCCTATTAACCCTTACCCTTTGTCTCCTGTCATGGAGAAAGTTACTTATCCAATCGACGACTGTATAATGGATTCCAAAACGTTCCAGTTTGAATTTAAGACCAGAGTGTGAAACCTTATCAAAGGCCTTACTTAGATCTGTTAAAATCACATCCACAGGAACATTCCGATCTTTTGCAGCAGTCCAATCTTCTCTTGCAATGAGAAGATTTGTCAAGCAAGATAGGCCTTTCCGAAAACCATGTTGTGCCCTGGAGAAAAGATTTTGCCCCTCAACATAGTTTATAACAGCTATCCGAATGATTTTCTCCATCAGATTTACAACTGCACTAGTTAAGCTAACGGGTCTATAGTTACTAAATCCCTACTCCCAGCCTTATACACCGGACTTATTATGGCGTCTTTCCAGTCTCTAGGAAGTCTGGACTGTCTCAGAGACATGTCGAATAGTATCACTAATGATTCAGCAATTCTATCTGATATGGCTTTCATAATCCTAGGATAAATATCATCAGGACCGCTGGACTTATCAGGTTTGAGATGCTGAAGTAGCCTTAAAACAGTACCTTTCTCAATGACTACAGGATCCATCAGCGAGGCGTCACGGTCACGATGAATCGTTGGTCGTTCCTCATTACTAATAGAAAATACTTTACTAAAATATTCCGATAAAGCTCCAGCTTTTTCGGCATCATTTTCTGCTAAGATTAACGGATTATCTCGTATCAAAAGTGATGGAATTCCATCGCTTCTCTTAGTTCGCCTTTTTGTATACGAGAATAACCGTTTCGGACTATACCTAGAATCCCTAACCAACTGTTTTTCGTATGATAGTCTAGTCTTACTTATTAACGCTTTACAGGCATTCCTAATCTTACAATAACTGGATCTGTATTGTTCTAAGCCAGTAGAGATGAACATATTCCAGTGATTCTTCCTTTTTCTAAGGAGTTTCCTGACCGTTTTAGTTATCCATGGTGAACTGTTAGTCGGTCTTCGCGGTACCAGGTAGCATTCGCTTCCAAGACCTGACTATCCGAAAACCCACTAGCCGGAGATTTTCCTCGTCGTTTCGCCGACGGGTTTCAAGTTCAGCTAGTGCTTTCTTCCTTTTTATTCTATCTTTGAGAGACATGTCAGGTCTAACTCGGATGTCAGAATTGTCGTGACAACGAGCGCTACTTAACAAGAGATCCCGTTGCAATAGATTGGGAATTCACCACAAGACATCAGTTCACAACAGATAAATCTCGGAAGGAATATAGTATACCGACAATGAGCATTATAATGAGCCCTGCTCTGGGTTTGAATGAGACCATCAAGATGGACCCAATTGAAGAAGCGGATAACAAACACATGGATGTAGGAATTGTTGCAAGAAGAAAGAAGGAGCACGCTCAAAAGAAACTAATACATGCAGCACAAAGGTATATGAATCTATGGTTTCTGTTCCGGATTCACATGACAACGCAAGACAGCGCATAAGTAGGCAATTCGGCGGATATTTAGGCGAAAATGCGACAATTCAGAGGATATTTAGGCTAAAATGCGACAATTCAGCGGATATTTAGGCGAAAATGCGATAATTCAGCGGATATTTAGGCGATAAGTCGGTAATTTGTCGACAAAAAGGCGAAAAAGGCGACATTCTGATGCGTTTTCCCCTTTCGCTACCAAAGCATTTTCCCCTTTATTTCCCATTTTTGGGTTGTCTGGGAGACGATGTGAGAGCAGAGCCTGAGAGCACAATCAACCAACAAAAGGGACTAAGGCATAAATAAAGAGGAAACGTCACTTTTTCGCATTCATGTCGGTTAATTATTGGGAATGTTGGTTTTTACACCTTACGTCGTATTTTGGGGCTATATTTGTTGACAAAAATACGTAACGTACATGCTTGAATGTGCCGCAAACCGTGCAAATGTTTTCAATCACGTCGACAAAATAACCCATCGTTTACTGAAAATAACTATCGTCATAAGAACAAGTACCAAAGTACGGTTGCAAGGATTTGGCTGAAACGCATATACACAGACTTTGATTTCTGGTTAGCTAAAGTGCAGCATCACCTTCAACAATTTCTTTTGTTGTTGTTTGATACATAGGTATACGCACGTCAGGTAGCTGGAAGTTAGAAGACGACATTTTGCCACATAACCAGTCACGATTCACTTGATTAAGTTCTTCAGGAAATTTCTCACTAGATAGAAGAATAGAAAAATAGGCCGGGGGTTGTCCACCGTTTTTAATGACATCATCAGCCAATTTTCGATAGAATACAACAGCATTTTGCAGAGCTGACTCCTGTGCAAATTTTCTTCTTTCCGACCGTTCCCTAAAACGCTGCTTACTTTGCTCTCGTTTATGTTCACGAACAAGTTTAGTCAAATTACTAATAAATTCATCTGTTTGGGTGAGTAAGTGATGAAGTCTCTGGTCTTTTTTCGCATCAATAAGACAGCGATAACCTTCCTCATCTTCAGCCATAAGACGTCGCATACGCTCACGATCAATTCGTTCTTGTTCTTTTCTTTTGTCACGCTCAGCATTGGCTTTGTAATTTAGAACGGCTTTGTTTATTTTCACCATTCTGCTGTTAACATTACGATGAAACTCTCGGAAATCTTTTCCGTGGCTAAGAACAGCATTCAGAAATTCTTGATGTTTTTGACGACGCCTTTTTTCTTGCTCATGTTTCATTTGTTTCTCCAACTTTTCCGTGAACCGAGCCTCTCGAAGAGTTTGTTTTTTCGGCCTTCTGTACGCCTTGACATTAAGAGCTGTCTCAAGGCTCGTGTCTCGGCGCATAGCTGACACTATGTCTTGCCTTAGTTGTCGCTGAAAATTCAGTAGACGCAAAGCACGAAGTTCAATCAATAATGATACTCTTTGTTCCGATGTACTAGATACAGAAAGACTACTTAGTTCTTTGATACGCTGCGCAATGCGAGACTGGATACGCTGTTCCCTCTCTTTTAGTAGCTCTACGGGATCCAAACCCTGAGGTCGTTGAATAGGAGTAAGTCTACTCCTTCCATATGTGCCAGTACCCCCAGGCAGAAAGGTTCCATTTGAAGATGAGGTTGTATATGATTGATAGCCTACTGGGGGACCTATACGTGCAGCCACTAAACTGGGTTGGATATTAGGTCTTACTCGAGATATTGCTAGGGCAGGATTCGCCGGATGGAATTCACTCTGAACGACAGACGACTGAGGAGACCCGACAAATGGCGAATTTTGCATGGAGTTTACAGAAGATTGATTCCATTGTTGTACAGGGACATTTGGTGCAGGTGGTCCACTCATAACAATAGGTGCATGACTGAGTAACTGTCTTCCTTCGGCCGCTAGTAATAATGTTTCAGGGACTGGCTGTGATTTGGAAAGTAGCTTGAAAGCGTTAATCTGTGCCCGCAATTGAACCAACTGATCCTTCATAAATGGACCCTGTTGAACTGGTGCGACCGACATTCTCATTGATCCTTCGTACATACAGAAAGTAAAAGAAAAAATTGAATAGTTTAGTGGAAAAACACATTTCATGTGAATCGATAGGCATAACAACGTATGACCTCGAGCTAAAAGGTTGATGAGCTTAAACTCACAAACTTCATAAAAAGACAGAGAAAAAATAAACAAAAACAAAAAGACGTTGAAATGAAAGGGAAAGAAAAGTATTGTAAAACTAAGTTACTTAGTTGTAACTTGATCATTTGCTTGTAGGGTGATATTAGTTTATCTCGCGCACTTATCATGAGACGACTGAAGTACAAATAATAATGTCCGTAAATGTTGGTTATTATCTTTGTACCATAAAAGAAGTATCACGAAGTCATATTTCAGGTTGGATAAAGGAGTTAATAGATGGCACACACCGTTGTTGAAGAACAGTTCACTTTTAATATAAATCTATACCCATGTTCCAGTCAGTTGTCAAGATGTGGATCCACCACATAGAATACGAAAAAATCACTTGGCACAACACAACATGTATGATCTTTGTCAATGATCACCAAATTACGGCCTAATCAACATTACTGATGGAAATTTATGTATAACTTTTGGCTTCTGACACTTGACAGAGGTTAACAATATTAAAATAATGCTAACAGTTTTTCACACTGTTTTACCGTTTCATGGTTAATGCAATTAAGTTTTTTAAGTATCTCTACTGGCATCTAAAATGTTACCACCTCCAAGATTTTCCTCAACGATTTTCAGCTGCTTACTAAAAGAAGCCAAATGACTTACAGATATATGACAGCTGGGGATTTATTCATGAAAGCAACAAATACGGTGTTGTTGTTGTCCCTATAATGAAACAACACACTCCACCAACGACAATAACAAGACCGGATATATTTTGCGAGGACCAGTTTTCAGAAATGACACTTAAAATCAATTTTCCGGTTCATAGGGTATCTTATTTAGTGACTCCAAAGATCTTTCTCGAGAAACAAATTACAACCAGACATTTCAAAGAGAAATCGAACAAACCACTGGGTGTACTGATTTTTCACCCGTACCTACAAGGTCCCATCATACACATAATTTGCATTCCGTAAATTTATTTGGTAAACTGAAAGAGTAGAAAACTCATAAGTTGGTAATTGAAACCAATTTCGTAGCAGTTAAAGCCATTCTAAAAAGCCTGAAAGCCACCTGAAGGATGAAAAGCGACAAGGAAACGTCTTTCTGTAAGTTAAGGTAATAGATATGATACATAACAAAGCTGAAATCTAAAAGGTCTAAGTACAGATTGGTCAAACCAAAGACGAAAAACACCAAATTAAGCGCAATCGAGATTCAGATGTCCAATGGCTAAAATCATTTTAACTCTACAAAATGCTAATCGATTGCAGTACAGCCAGTCACTAATTCTAAAAGAACTTATACTTCACACTACATGTACATTTTCAAATATAGTTTTTCTTGGCGCAAGATGATAGACTAGTATCTATATTTCTGTTCTCAACTGGAATTCATCTGTGGTTGTCTAATCTCATGTTGAAACTGAAGTCTATGAAGACAAACGACACTTCCTTCGACAGGACGTTCAGTATTTTAGCCAACCTGTGTATAGTAATAAGTTTACTCTCTCTGATAGGTATTAACATCTTCCACATTAGTCCCTGATCCTAATGACCAAGTTTAACGAGATTCGTGGGATTTTCAGATTCCTTTATTATGTTTTTATAATTCGTCGGACTAATTTAAAGGTGATTTTTCCGTATATCTGTTATCTATAGTTTCAGGATAGGCTGCAAAGTGAAAGATTTCTGCACATCATACTGGACAGGTGGTTTTTACAAATGATGAATTACACGTTGGATGATCTTTGATTGTAAGTGTTTGAGTTAGTTATGTGGGTAAATCATCTAGATGGGCATGAATTCAATCTAGGTTCGAATCAATATTTTTCCTACAGAGACGCGTACTTAATTGGTCGCCGTTGTTCCGAAGTGTCATTCTTTTGGACGAGTCGAAGCATTGACCAGTTTAGATGTGGCGATAGTAGCGTCTGAACATAACCGTAAACACTGTATTTCCGGAGTCAAAACCAGCCGCAGAATCGTATTCAAAAGAAATCATTACACTAGTGTATACTTTGGACAACCTGAAGGACAAGTTTACATAATGAATGAGGAGTAGCAACACGATTATTTATATACAATAAACCATCGGAGCGGTGCGTGTTTCCTCTCCTGGAAAAATAGACATGGAATCTGCGTTTCAAACTGGCACTTCTAACTTTTCCTATAGCACTGAGTATATACCCAAAGTATAGAAAAGTTTCACTTATGAGATCAGGACGGCTCACCGGTAGAAGTCGTATTAATGGGCAGTTTGCTGTATCAACATATTTACCTCGTGAATACCATCGAAATAGATCATTAACATAAATATACCACAAGTACACATAACACCTTTATAATCGAAGTATGCCAACCCAGTCAAATCAGAAGTCAGAAATGAAGACATGTGAAGATATATTTGGAGGGCTGTTGATATCTCGAAGTGTTTGGTCTAAGTTGTCTAACGAATGTACGAGATGCACAGCACGGTATACCCACTTGTGATCTAATGCGAACTCGTGACCAAGCGCCTTCAGCTAGATGTGTCCACGAAAAATAGTCAGTGTCGAAAACTTACAGAACTATTTATCTTGAGTATTTATTTACTCCTACAACTCACCCCCCACCTAGTGCGCTAGTGATGACACTAAAACGTAGTCAGCCAGGAGCGTAGGCACAACGAGCTTGTCGTTGTTAAACACTCTTCAGGTACCTTGCTATGTTCAGTATAATCGGATTGCCTTTCCCCAATATAAGAGGCTATATGGCGCAATATATAGCAATGAAAGTGTGTGCCATGAAAAATTCTATTCGTTATGTTCTTCGTGGTTTTTATTCTTTTCCGGTCGTTTGGTAAAAAAAAGATTTGTACACGCATGTATAAGTACACTCGTACGTTCGCATAGACAAAAAATGTGCGAAACGAATGGCAAACATGGGTGCGCATAGAATAAATAAGATAGCGTAAAACATTTTGGCACAATGATTTCTGGTCTTGTTTGCCCTTTTTTGTCACAAGCAATCTGGACAGTACATCACTGTTAATTCATAGTAGCTGAGAAATGTGCTAAAGATTTTTCAGAAGGATAAATTAACTCTAAAAATTCATGTTCTGTAACAATAGTGAATTTCTTTACAATTAAATATTTATGATGTAGTCTAACTGTCCGAAACACACAATACTTCTCGCTGAGCTTGCGAATAACCTTGCTTAGGAACAGTAGGCCTGCGCAAGACACAGATTTCTGGTCTAACTTTCTGCTCTAAAACTGCATCAAAACCCAGTAGTGATTTATCATTAATAAGTACGGAACGAAGACTTTTAAACTGAGCGTGCAAAACAGCAGCACTACGAAGAAATTGTAGTAGACATTGTATGTATGACTCTGGTTTCCCACCTTATTCAAATGAGTTTTATGTTAAGATTCTAAGTAAACAAATAGTATACAAAAATTTCAGGAGGAAAATTGAATTAATATTGAAGAATAATCCACAGTAAATGTAGTTTTACTAGCTTTTCGCTGATAGTGTGTTTGTCAACGACTAGATATTTAAAACATTGCAAACCAAATGCATATAATAAACACTGATTTGGATTAAGCGTAATAATCTTCTGAATTAAAAGAATCAACAAAACAACAAAAATTCGAACATGAGCTGCTTTATCAGGATTATGAATCATAAAAACATAATAAAATCCAACGAACTCAAGGTTACTTACTACACTACTCATCAGTTATTGAAACACAAGTAGTAAAAAATTAAGAAAAAACGAAATGTGGATGAATAATAAACATGATATATCTGTAATATCCCAATGGGTAGAAAAATTAAACTTTCTGGCACTTCATCACTCAATGTAATTTAATTCTACAGGGAATAAACAAACAAATTAACTCAAGCTTAAGTAGTACAAAAACACAAAGCAAGAATATATTGGTGCGATCAATAAAAAAGGTCTAATCAAGTTACTTTCATGTCATTTCGGTCAAGGCAAATTACGTGAGGAGCGTCTGTATATTTGTATGTACGTATGTATTTTAAAGGATGAAAAGATGTGACATTTGTGGCTCAAAAGGACAAAGCTGAGTTTTTGTAGGATAATGGTGTGAGATGTGACTAGAACCAGACATGGTAGCTCGGACGGATAGTTCAAGTTAGATGGGTAGTGAGGCATTTTTTTCTATTGAAGGCATCAGGATTAGGCAATATATAGAGAGATTCAGTGACTCTATTTTCTTTATAGTTGTAAAAGCCTTTATATATTATCTTGAAGTTTTTAAGATCGACTTGAATATTATTGAGAATTGCATTGACTGCTATTGCCGATTCAATCCTCAGTCTTCTTAGTTCTGTGGGGTTATTATGTTGTTTTTTTGTGAACCTAAGACGTTCTTTGTCTCTTGTCAGGATTTCACGAGATTACCCTCTAATATAGAAAACATCACAATCAACACAACCTCAATTGTATACATAATTCTGTGATGACATAATGTGGATTTTTTTCTCTAAGCGAACAAAAGTATTTCTAAGGGTGTTCTTCTTTTGTAACATACTTTAATTCTGTGTTGTTTTTAAAACTCTTTGAGTTTCTTCTATCGTACCATGTTGGTATGGTAAAATTACAGTACAAATTCATGAAATTTTATTCACGCTATCGTTTAGCAGTAACATATTTTGTTTTATTTCATTTTTATTATTCTTCATAGAAAAATTAATAAATTGTAAGGCATTAATTACATGCTTTCATTATTTTTGTTTATCGTTTTCAGATGTATTTATCTTGTTTGCACTTATAAAGAATTCATGTCAACAAAATATCATCTACATATTCGACACAAATTCGTGATTTATTGTCATTGGCGAAAATTTCTTACTTTTAGCGTAAGATAGACAGGCTGATTACAAATGAGGACACGGAGAACATCCTAATGTTACTCCGATTGTCTACTTGTATAATTTCCCGTTTATAGTAAGTCAGGCGGGATTAAATTACGATTTTAGATATTTGTGCTGAAAAACAGTCTATCAGATAAAATATTGAAAATAATTAGTAAACCATGAATCGAATATCAGAAACTATACGCAGGAATACATGTTTATAATCATAAAAAGAGTTATAATCTGTGAAACAGTGTGCTCTGTTGATTCTATAAGGCAAAGATATAGCCAAACAGAGAGGGCACTCATAGTATTGGTCCATAAATGGATCCCAAAAATTAACATTCATTATTCTTATCGGGATATAACACCTCCCCCATTTTAAGATCCGGATTTTAAATTTTCCGGGTTTATCCTCCCCCAAGAAACATTGTTGGATTCTCATATTCCCAAGTTACAATTAATTTGACATTATTTAAAACATATTTGTCACATTGAACAGAGAATTTACTGAAAGTGATTACTGTGGCTGAGACGCACATACATCGACTTTGTTTTTGTTTAACTAAAGTATTCCGACATCCGTGGTAGCCATCACAAATAACTGACGTGACGCAAGTGAATCACGTGCTCTCCGTTTTCTATGTTCATTATAACTAGTTACCTCATTAGTCCAATACGATAAGTTCAATTAAAGTCACTGAGAGAACTATTAGACGTAGGGCAACTATTAACTTGTCAAGCGTCCTTGGCTATCATAGATCGACCTATAACAGACGGTGGAATAAAATGAGAACAGCTTTCATGAAAAAAACATAACTTGCTTTCGTTTAGTCAGTTTGCTAATGAAAGCACAGTCAAAGGTAACTGGCCTTAACAGTGGTGTATGTTTAATTGATAGCACTCGAGAGAGAAATTAATTGTAATGAGAATCCTTCAACTGTTACACCATCCACTAGCTACAGCGGTGAAAGGATTCTAGATAATAATGGTGTGTACATGAAGTGAATACATTAATATATTTCTTATAAGATGTAATGACGTTAATTTATGCTCTTAAATCGTAAACAGCAGATCAACAGTGTATTGATGACATTAATTACAAAAACCCTCCTGAGCATCAGTGATGCTGATCGAATTCTGAATGATTTCCGAGATCTGGTTCCGGACTTACTAAGGAGCATCAGAAGTGTTCTGAGGGCATGCACAAGTGTCCAACCAAAGTTCATCAGCAGTGGGGTTTACTACCATCTTGGATTGAAAACCAATCTGCTAAAATATGCTGAACATTGGTTGTTACGGCACCTTCTTGACGATGTTAGTGTACATGGACCTTTAA